ATTTGCGGCATTTCAACCCATCGAAAGAAGCGGTGATTATTGTCTTCGCGAGCGAATGGGCCATCTCCGCGGCGTTGGTGAAGGACTATGACGGCCTATTTATGCCAGTCACCTTTACGAGACGGACACTCAAAGCCAACGAAATGAGCTACAGTATCGTGGAGAAAGAAGTGTTGGCGTTGTTACGGATATTGGAAACATATTAACGATGCTGGTCACCCGACCTTTAAAATATAAACGGGACACTCGACGTTGGCCTGGTTGGCCAAATCCTTTGGATTGCAGGGGCTTTAAGAAATTGGGCCGCTTTCTTGTCACATTGTACATTAGAGATTGGGAAGTGCAAAAAAGGCGAAGACCAGGTGCTGGGGGCGTTAGCAGTCAGTATTACCCCCCCCCGCGAGAGTGTAGACTCGATACTATCGGCTATCGCACCCAAGAAACAGGCGAAGTAGAAAGTTGACCTGCCTACGCCCACTGTGGAAAAAGAAGAAGAAGGGCTATATGTACAGAGCTGAAATGGATCGGATCGTGTGAAACAAGGCTGAGGAGCTTGTAGCGCCATCGTACGGAGACTGTCTACGTGGTCGGTATCAAGCGCTGCCTCAATATGTGTCAATGTACCCACAGTTAATGAACCCGAATACGAAGGTATGTTGCTGGGCTTCGAGGTTTTAGAACCTTTAGAACGACGGCGAGTAATCCTCTATGGAAACCTGATCTGTTTGTCCGGTAGATGCGCGGAGAAGTCGAGTGCAGGGCGTCAGGGCTGTCTCCATTGCGTGCAAGAGCTCTGAGCAAGCTTCAGTTGTGGACTTCCCACGAGATAGTACACGTAAAGCGCGGTTGGAACCAGGGTGCGGACCAGCTGGATAGTGCAGCATTACACAGACAAGGAGGGCGGTTCAGTACCGAGGGAAGAGTAGCCAGGGTTGGAAGTGATCAACTGACTGTTAGAGCTGTTAGTCCTCAAAGACGAGGATCGGACGGTTGGATTATTCGCGGAGACCCGATGAGGGACACCCATCAGAATATCCGGAGAGACGATGCAAGGAGATGTGATACAACAGATGCGGGTGGAACAGATCCGGAAAGCTCAAGAGGAATAGAGCTGGATAATGGATTTAAAGGCGTATTTGAAAGGAATTCCGGTGGCCTATCGGCAGAAATGGCACAGTCATGCAGCAAATGGCTAGTTATTATGGGATGGAGCGAAGAAGGATTACTGGTGACCAGAAGACCGACGAGGGCGACCGAGAATTGACCTCCCAAGTGGTGATCCCCGAATCCCTCCATACCGACGTGTTACATCACTACCACGTCAGTCTAGATGGCGGTCGCACCTACTATCGTATTCTCCGGTATTGCAATCAGAGAGGCTTGTTTCGAAGTGTACAGCGGTATGTGGGCTTGTGTGTAGATTGCAAGACGGGAAAAGGGATGCCTACCCATTAAGGGACAACTCCATACAATGTCAAGGCTATCTACCCTTTCCAAGGCATAGCAATGGTCACATCTCCTCGTTGCCCAAGTAACATAAAGAAAACACCGAACTATTCATTTGGGTCGACTTATTCACCAGGTTATGTGATGGCCAAGGTAAGTGCTTCGAGAACTCAGACGGTAGCCGAAGGGTATGAAGAATGTGTTATTCGGCATTTTGGGGCCAGATAGGTGATCACCATAACCGAAAAATTGGTTCATGTTGGACATCTTTCGAGCATTTAATCCCATGGTGGGTCAGCGTCAACGGGCAACGATAGCTTACCGACCACAGGCGAACGGCACCGCGGAAAGAATGGTCCGAACCCTGACAAGGTCTATCGAGATGAGTGTCTCAGATTTGGCGCAGCAAGATTAGGACGAATATGCAGAACGGCTAACATAAGCACTACACACTACACACGATAAGTTGCGAAAAGAGACACCGTTCTATTCGGCCCACGCGTGGGACGCCAGAACTACCCTGGAAGCAACGTTGCCAGTGGCAAACACAAGATGCAAAGGGTCGGGAGCTCGAAGACGGAGGTATCACATCCAGAGTAACTATGACCGTGCAAGGGAAAACGTGAACGAGCATTTGCGGTCAACCTGTCAAGATCGGGCTCTAACTTAAAATGAACAAGTGGTCGGTCACAAGATTTGGCTAGGTATCCAAGTGTAGCTCTACCGAGATCGTGTGAAGGAAGGGTACACCGAAAAGTTGGCTCATCCCTGGCATGGTCCGTTTCAAGTTTTGGAGCTGGTCGGTATATATGCGGCGCGGTTAAAAGTAAGGGATACGAAGAATTTTTTTTCTTGATTATTCACATTTAATACTGATCTTCCAGGTTACCGGCTATCAGTGTACGAGGCCTATCGGATCTACTTTATTAAAAGATTGTTGCTAAATAATTGCTGGACGCGCGAACTGGAGGAAGGCGAATACGAAGTGGAAATGATTTTAGAAAGCCGTGTCAGCAAGAAGACGCGATACGGTCGGCAACAGCGCGTGTAGTGGAGCTACCACAGCTCTAAAGTCATATGAAGAATTTACGGGTTAAGTTAGAGGCTTACATCTGACAATCAATTGGTTTTAAGGAGATAGTGTGGCAAGTCAAATATTTCCTGGTTATATGGAACATAGCGCGGACTCTATGAGCTATTACATCAGACTACTGTAGTTCTAAGGAACTATACGCACAATGTAAAAGGAGAATGCAGGAGTCTAAGGAATCTCTATCCCACGACAGTTCTAAGAAGTATCAAGCGCAACGTGCAAAGGGGGGGGGTCTACGGGCTTCCGCTCAAAATGAGTACTGAGTTTATTAAGATTCTATATCAAGGAAAATCCTACTTTGACATTTTTTTTACTACACTAGAGCTAAGACAAATATTATTCTTCGAACCAAATGGATGGTTGGAATATCACTCAGTCATCAAATGATGACAATAAGAAGTACTTCCACGGTAATTGCCGTAACTCGAAGAATACCGACTAATCGGTATTCTCTCCTGATATAAAATTTGAGGCCACACTTGTCTCCCGTATCACATATGGGATGTCTCCAGCCAATTTAGCCGATGGTTAGTATGATCCCGTTACACGTTCCCCCACCATATGACGTTATCACGAAACATCACTCGACTCGTCTCCTCGTTAAGGTTTTTACTTCGTAAATTGTCATCATGGACCGACCTAGACTCCTAACGGAAGATAAATCTAGCCGAATACCTTGGTGTCGAGGAAGTGGACGATAGCAGTGGTAGTGTTACCGCCACTCAGGTGTTGAAGCATCCTAACCCAGCCAATCTGTGCGTGACCGTACCTCACGTCAGGAAAGGTATCCGTTCCCTGAACGTGGCGCAGCGACTGCGCTAACAGCGCTGGGTGCGATGCTTAACATGGACCCATCCATCATAAGTTACGTACTTGAAAGAGGAGCAACAACGCATACTCGATTATGCGGAAAGTGCACGGCGCAAGTCAAAAATTCTTAGCCACTTTAGCGACATCGTGACTGCACATTCACTCCGCCTGACGTAGAAGAACGCATTCGTCAAACAGCTGGCCAAATTTTGGCAGGGTGGAACACTGGCACCGAGGCGAAAACGTTCATCGAAATTATATGCCGTAAGGCTCTTCAGAAAAGGTATGTGGAACCTGCTGTGATGATCTTGAGTGAGTATCGAGAAAGACTCCAGACACAGGCCGAAGATACACCGGCTCCACCAATAAAGGGTGTACCCGTCCAAATGTCTGAGGGTGCGGACGACATCTCAGAGGATAATGCGTTCATGCGCTGGGTACATGGCGTTCGATGCCTGGGTAGTATGATAGCTCTGAGAGCAAGTGCCAGTGTGGCAGACGTTCTTTTAAAGCTTCGCTACGACTTCGCAGAGTAAAGGCCAAAGGCCGGCTGAGGGGAATATCTCATTGCCGCTATGCGTAGGCTGCTCCTGCAGCCGCGACTTTACGTCAGTAACTTTACACAAACCCTCCCGCTCTCTGACTAGTGAGAAGCGTCGTGCTCGTCAATACGGGCCTGATCGTGGCGCTTAAAAGCTTCCACGGCGTACGGGCAGTCTTGCCGAAGGGGTCACTAAAACTAAACTGAGTTCTCAGACTCGGGATACCCCCACCACTTCACCAGGTATTGGTAGTCACCATAACGACGACGTCGTTGGAGTAACTTCTCTACATGGAGCTAGAGGTTCCAATTCCTATCAAGCAATGCCGGTGGCGTTCGGTGTATCGGCTGAGAGCCACTCGAATCTATTGAAAGATGTGAAAAGCGTCCGTGAGACTTTGGTCAAACCCAGCATGCTCTGAACGAATCGTACTCTCGTCTGGCGACGCTTAAAGGCGATAACACCCATTTTTAGACGGTGGAGACATGTCTAGGCGTTAGCAAGGAGACAAAGGGATGCAAGGTCCTCCTCTAGAAAAAAATTAGGTGGTCGTCACACAACACGTAAAGAACATATCCACGCTGTCCGACGCTCAGAATGCTCAACTGCAGCGCGCGATGGAGGTTATAGATCAAGAAGAAGAAGCGGAAGAGGCAACACCACTAGCAGAGGCGAAAAGTAGGACTCACGACGACAATAGAGGAGCGGAAGATGGTCGCGGCGCTCGCAGGAAGAGCAAGAAGCATCGGGCGCCACAAGCGCACGGGACGCACGGCGCGTCAATGCGTGAGCAAGCAGCTGCACGCCGGAGATGCAAACCGCGAGTGACTAAGTCGTCAGCGCATCCTTCGAGCGCGATCCGCGTAATTAAGGCAAGGCCATACGCATCTTGAAGCGCGCGGAGTAGCAGGAGGCAATGCAAGAGTAAATCGCTGTGCTCGAGAGCAAAGATGTGTGGTGCGTGATGAAGCGCAGCCCGGGTGCGAGCGCTCTTCACATTAAGTAGGTATTTAAACCAATACTGGACCCGACGGAGAGCTGGAGAAATATAAGTCGAGGCTTTTCGCATGCGGAAATGCGTCAATTACAACCTAACCTTTGCCGCCGTGATGGACATATCGACAGCAAAGGTCGTGCTGGCTCTCGATGCAACGTGGGGCGTTCCTGACAAGCACGGAGACATCCCGAATGCACACGTGCGTACCGGACACGAAGCTCACCTCGATATCTGCCTGCAGGTGCTACGTGGGATGAGCGTGTCAGAGAGTATTCTGTACAAGGTAGGTGCCGCGCATCCAGGCGAGGTCGTCTTGAAGCTAATGGGGAGCCTGCACTTGCTGAAGCAGGCCGGTCGCCTCTAAAAGCCAGTTGCTCCACGCGCGACTCAACGATGCAGGGTGCGTGCGATGTGCTTCCGACATGTGTCAGCACTTAAAACGCGACGGCGACGAGCTGGTCGTTGTAGACGCCTACGTCGAGGTCCTACTGGCGACGGGAACGAGTGTCGCGGCGGTCGAGAGTCTCTTCGCGAGCCTGGTGTCGCTGTATATCAAAGATCTTGGTCATCATAATCATAAGTTTCTGGGGATGCGAGTGGAGCTCGGAAGTGACGGCGCATATCGCATTGACCAGGAGGAGGTAATCAAGCGTGCTCACGGGATGAGCGACGTGAACCTGACGAAGACGCCAATAGATGAATGCTACGAGATTGTAGGCGACGATGCCGCGCTGCTGGAGACGAATGGTGCAGGCGGTAGTGCGACGATTAACGCGTTTCAGTCACTCGTCGGGAGCCTGCTGTGGGTCGCCCGGTGCTCGAGGCCGAACATTTCCTTTGCTGTGCACAAAGCGACGAGGCAGACGCACGCGCCGCGAGTGCTTGAATGGAAGCTTTCCAAGCGTGTCGCGCAATAACTTAAGGGCACCGCGACGCTCAAGCTCCCGATGGCCCCGGCGCGAACGAGTCGCGACACGTTGCAGCTCGAAGACTACAGCGACGCGGACTACGTAGCGGACAGGGCGGATCGCAAGTCGCTAACGGGAAGCGCTGTGCTACACAATGGTATAGCGGTATCGTGGACCGCGAAGAAACAGGGCGGGATAAGTCTATCGACAACGGCGTCGGAGCTCGTCGTGGCGTCGGAAGTGGCGCGCGAGCTCATTGGTTTGCAATGGATGATCGGAGTGGTGGGCATGGCGCCAGTTGTCCATATTCTGATGTACGTGGACAACCAATTAGCCATTAGCCAGATCGAAGGCAAAGCCTCATCGATCAAGGCCAATTACATCGACATTAGGCATAAGCATCTGCGCGACCTCGCTCAACGCGGTATCGTCACGACGAAGCACGTTTCGTCCGAGCTGATGCTCGAGGACCTGATGACGAAGGCCCTTGATGCGACCAATCTGGAAATGCTGCAGAGTCTGATGCGGTTCCATTAAGAGCTGGATGCGATGAAGGGTCGGAGTAAAGAGAGAGGGCAAGAAGGTTGCGTCGGAGTGTGCGTCATGGTCGGGGCGCGCGTAAGGAGCTTAAGGATGAAGAAGCTTAAGGATGGGGGAGCGCAAGTAACCTGTGCAAGCTTAAGAAATGATAGGGGTGTGAGGACAATTAACGACCGAGGAAGAGCGTTGGAAATGTTGAAGTTGATAGAAGTGGGTGCGTAGTAAATATTAATAAAAAAGCATAAATTTTTATGAAAGTAATAAAACAGTCTAGTCAATGTAATTAATATGGACTACTTTTTATAATTTCATAAAATAAGTATTAAATCTAAAATCCAATTGAAAAAGTAAATCTTGTAAAAATTTATGATTGCTGATGTGTGTTTTTCATAAAAAGCAAATATTTAAAATAAAGCCTTCATAAATAAAATAAAGCAATTGCTTCTGTTTAAGTAAAACCTAAAATTACAGCTCTTATCAGTTCTGTTTGAAATGAAGGATTTCTTCTTTCTTTGGTTGAGAGCTTAATTTAGTTCTCCGGACTGTATTGCATGTATGAAACGATGGGCCAATAGCCTTTTTCGTCTTTTTCTCGAATGGTAAATAAACCGCTACAAAAAGATCAAGTTTTAAACTATCGAGCGCTGGTGGAAAAACGTTTTGAACAGGGACTTTGAACCTTAATCCCTCGTTCAGCCGGTCGGCGTTCGTCCATTTATTTCGCGCTTCTCTTTCGTGTTGAGAGGGCCAAACAACACGTGTGCACACAATGCCGGACCCGCTCGTCAAGTTGTCGTCCACCAGGCCAACTGTCTTGCGGCTGATACTGTTGGCTACTTTAGTCAACGCGATATTGATAGTAGTGTGGATGATGTCTAGTCAACAGTACTTCTTATCTACGCCCGTACAAGTAGAGGCAGAAAGTCGTGCGGCATTAGCCCAGAACCTCTCACTTAAAGTTTTGGAGACAGAGGCCCCTATAGTGACCGTCAAGAACCCTCCAATCAATATGTTCAAGACAGAGGCCTCGGCAGTAACCGTCAAGGACCTTTCACTCGAAGTATTGAAGACAGAGGCCCGTGCAGCAACTGTCAAGAACGGTTCGCGTGAAGCATTGGAGACACGCCAATTCAAGTGTATCGGATGGAGAGCCACGCACGGCTGCAGTGCAGACGGAGCTCGTGATGTGGCGAATGACAAAGTGTGCGACGAACGGGTCGAACACACTGCGTCTGGCTACTGTGAGATTGAAGACGTCAAGACCGGTGAACGGCTCCGTGCTATGCGACGTGGGTGTGCCACAGTCCGGAAAAGGGCCAACTTCTTTTGCTCTCTTGCACCGGATTTCGCGAATTTCCCCGCAAAGATTGGCCAAGTGGTGGAAAAAGTCAGTGCACCTGGCTTTAGTCTGCCGAACAGCAATCAAACCGAGGCAGTACGGGCAGGTATTGTCATGGTTGTGTACCCGAGACTCCTAGCAGGCGCATATGCTTCGATTCGCACACTGAGAGAGGTGTCGCGTTGTCAATTACCGATCGAAATCTGGTTTCGACCGGATGAGATGCAGACTGTGCCTGCTGGGCTCAAGCAATTAAAAGAGGCTGCAAAGGTGGATACAATGGATGGGGTCACATTTCGAGCGATTGATGATTTGCGTGCGGTTCGTTTCGCTGCAAAGGTGCATGCGATCTACAATAGTGCTTTCGATCACGTGTTGTTCCTGGATGCGGATAACGTTCCAGTGCGTGACCCGGCGTTCTTATTCGAGTCTGAAGAGTTTGTGAGAACTGGAGCTGTATTTTGGCCGGACTATTGGCACCCGCATCACACTATTTTTCACCTCGTTGAAGACTCATTGTTGTGGCAAATGCTGGACATGCAGTACGTTGACATGTTCGAGCAGGAAAGTGGCCAGCTGTTGATTGATCGAAGACGCCATGCTGCCGCCATGGAGCTCGCACACTTCTACGCTTCTCATACTCCTGACCTATTTGAGCGTCTCGATCTGGTGTGGGGGGACAAAGACCTCTTTCGGTTTGCTTGGATCAAGCTAAATGCGTCGTTTTCTATGGTTCAGACCCCACCTGCAGTCGCTGGCAAGCTTGTGAATGAGTCATTTTGTAGTATGACGATGGCTCAACACGATTTTGGTGGAAACGTGCTTTTCCTTCACCGCAATGCCAACAAACTGACTGGGCGGCCACAACGTAACAACGTGAATCACGTGTTTGGTCCTCTAGAACCCGACAACCTACCGGATCCAGTCATTTGGACGCATCTGTGTTCATTTCGAAACTCGTCGCGTCGGAATGATTACAGAATTGAGTCATACAGAGCACCTCCAGAATTTCCTGAGTGGCAACGGTGTTATGGCAAGCGCCACCTTCATGACAACGAACTGTTTTCCACACAGAAATTCGCAGACCTGAGCTTTTCTGGACTTGAGACGCACCTCAGGCGTTTCGCTATGGAAGGCGTCCAACAGCTGGCGAAATTTCAGGCTGCAATGAAGAACGGAACACACTGGGGTGTGTGACAGTCCAAATGGAAACCGCGTCATGGAGTGTTTATTGTTGCAACAAGTCGAAGCCTTGCTCCTCGTATCATGATCATGCGACGACCGAGAACGAAAAACTGTATGGCAAATAAATAGTGACTTGGTTGCACAATTTTTTGCCTCGAATGCTGTCAACTACTGGTATTGTACATTTTTCTATTGCGAAATCAACGTGCAAAGAAATAGGACATTTTGCCTAACTGGTTAGGTGCCGTCAGAGCACATTTTCACCTTTTTATTCTAATCGTTTATTTGTTTTTGCTTTCGTTACAAACAATAAACCTGGAATTGTTTTCAAAGGGAGCCGTCCATCATTACCAGAATTTCGCAAACCATTCAGCTCTCTCTTTGTTGCGAGCCCGAAGAGTGAACCATTCAACCCTTTCTTTGTTGCGAGCCCGAAGAGTGAAGCGATGGAAGTTAGGTGAAAAGCTCCGTGCCTTAACAGTTATCTACACTTTTTGCCAAGTTTTTACCGTTTCTGCCCTTTTCTACTATTTTTACCAGCGTTTTATGTTTTTTACGCTCATGTTGTTTCACGTTTTTGACAGTATTATAGCTCTACAAAGCAGGTTTTTTCGATGTCTAGTGGCCAGGCCGGGTAAAAAACCATCAAATGTGATAAAAACTGTGCTGGAGGGAATTCCGCTAGTCACTATGTAGAAGGAATTATATCTACACACACAATGCACGCACCAAAAGTCTACGTCCGACAGGTTGCTGAAGATGTTCAAAGCCCTAAAGTTCGCATCAATAAGAGCATCTGTACATGACTCTTTTATGTTGTTAGCGAAGAGACCAGCAGTAAAAAGCACAACACCTGTGCAATGTGAACCTCCAGGCGCTATGCCTAGGGTTGCAATTTTTTTGAGGAAGCTCGTTGCATTTGACCACGGCTTTGCCTTCATCCGTTTCACCGTTTTAAAAAGATTCCACACTAAGATGAGGGCGCCCGTCGACGGTAAATTTGCCAGTCGCGAAGGATTTAATACAAACCATTAGCACTGCGGAGAAGGCATGTTGAAAGCCTTTGACAAGAACAGTGGGCCCTAAAAGCTGATTGAAGGGATGGCAGTCCATAATTCCTACCGGTTACTGAGCCTCCATTTGTTTTTTGAGCTAGATAGTAACGGGTGGGCGATGGACAGTGGGGGTGGTTCTAGAGCGACTTCACATTTATTATTATCTAACAAATTACCAGACTGTTGATAGATTAGAGATTGTTAAAGTCACCACACCTTTCACTTAATCCGACAATACTGATATAACATAAAATAGTATATCACTATTGTAAAAACTAAATAATTACAACCTCTTGGATTCAATCCAAGATTTTAAAGCTTAGAAGGCTAATACTCTACCAAGATTTCGGGTGCACCAAACCACATACTACATTGCTCTTAAGCGCGATAGGTAATTATTTCTCGTACATCGTTGCATTCCTAGTCTATGTATGGCTGAAACAGATGACGGCACCGTAGACTACATGCAAATGAACACATCACAGTATTTACCGACCAAGCAGCCTTGATGTGTTACACCAAAAAGCACGGGGTGTGGACGGACTAGATATACACAACAGCACAATCTGATGCCATACGCTCGTGCTTTACAATCACGCTAATTGCCCTGGCCGTGGTGAAAGCATTTACGATTCAGTTCAAATTGGAATTCTTTTGTGAGGGGGTGTCTTTTGTACGGTACACTGTCGCTCTCGATCTTGCTGTTGGCTGTACGGTTTTGTTAGACTTTTCATTGTACAATTCATTGTACAATGGCACCTTTGATGGTGTGGTACGCTCCGTTCTATCCATGATTCCAATTTAATGTGTTAAAGCATTCATCTATCGCGTTTAATAGTAATGTGGAATGTGGTGTGGCATAAACAATGTCGTGGTATAAAAAGGTGTGGGGGATTTAGCAGTCCCCAATAGAATATTGTTTGTAAATGTCTGTTTAAAATGAGGCCCTGTTACAACCTTTTTTCTGTTGGCAAGTACTTCTAAGTTCTAAACATAACTTCTTACCTAACATCTCAGGGTGAAGCTATTCGCGCACTCTGAATGCCAAACTTTCAAAAACATATTTTTTTTGTCTTTGTGTTTGTCAATGTGTCTCTAATTGCTCCAGATACACCTTTAATGTCGTACTAAGTGCGGTTAATTCTAAAAATCAGATCTCATTATTTTGATCGTAGCTACAAATATTACAAAACAAGCTATATTGTAGACACTCCTGCCAATTATTTGTGAACGAGTTCAAAAATATGCCATGACTGCAAAATGACTTGAGACAGCGGGCCGATCTATATTTTGCATGTTTACTGAGATCGAATCTGCTTCAGGATACCGCATTGCTTAGCCCGGAAAATGCTTTGAAGAACAGGTGCATGAGGGTGGTGCGGCACTCGTCTAGTTTCCACTTTCAATCCCTAGGACAGAAAAGTCAATAAGGGGGGATAGATGTTGTGTTAAGGAAAACGGTTGCGAGGCTGCCTAAAAAGAGCGAAGCCGCTCTGAGCGGGGAACACAGTGCCATGCGTCATTTAATAGCGTGTGCGTGTCATGCTTGTCGATCACCTCCCGGACGGCGACGTTGCCACCGTACGTCTTGACAAGGTCCTGATGGTTGACCTCGAGCTCCTCAATTTGTTCAGGTGTCCAGAACTTGTCGAGGCGGCTGCGTTGCGTGTTTAGTACGTTCTGAATAAATTTGTAAGGAAGCAGCGTAACGAAATGCAGAGGCATGAAATGTGGCGCATCCTTTGCTAGGGGCAGGCCATTTCCGCCCCGCTCAGCCTTGACGCCCATGATGGATGTGATCAGCGTGATAGCTTCGTCGTGATCTCCTGGGTGACCGCCTTTTGATCGTGGACTCCTAGAGTATCCAAGTATGTGACAATAGCATACCCTAGGTCACGAATGTGGTGTTCGATGCTGGCGACGTCGATTTGCAGGGAGCCGACGGATATATATTCAATCTCGCCTTCTTCGTTGCACTCGTCAGGATGTAAAAATCTACGCAGAGCATGTTAGTGGGAGTGCCTATCAATGCAATAACTAGCTCCTTTTGTTGCGCAATCAGAAGAGACTGGTTCTGCAGCTTGGCGAAAGTGACGTTGAACTAGCAGACTACAGGCTCCAAAGCCCGGTTCATGAGGCACTATTCTGCCGCGAGCATATTATGAGGTGCTCCTTCATGATGTGCGCTATGATCTGCCGGCGATGCTTCTTGTAGAAGTTGAGGACTCGACCGATGTGCACCCACTGGTTTATCCTTTTACGATACTTCAAGCTAGTCGTGATGATCAAGTATTTTTTCTCAGGCCGCAGGTAGACGGACAACAAGCAAACTATCTTGATAAATGTGCCTTCATTGATGCTCTCAGCCGCCGACTTGACGACTACGTCAATCTGATGCGGCACGCACCACACGTGAAGCATGATAAATTTGCGCAATGTGCGATGCGAGTGATGCGATTAGCGCGTCGCCCGGTCTAGGTGTTCTCTCCATTTGACAAAACATTTAGTATTTGCTGCACCGGTCTGGGTAGAGCGCTTCCAGAAACGTAGTGAGCAGATGGGGGATGTGATTCGCCGTGTCGTGATCGAAAATTGAGATCCCGACCAAATTCATGTTGCAAGCAGACATTTGAAGCACAACCCCACGCGAATGTCGAAGAACGACTGTTAACGGTGATTGAATGAGTCAATGGCAAGCGAGACTGTCCAAAAAGACTCGTCGCCCATCACGTTTGAGATTTCTTGCAGAGAGTCTCTGACTAAGACGCGAACGTAATGGCCAACTATTACGTCGTTGATACCAGTCTGTTTCGCCGCCTTAGTGTGGTACGTTGCATGTTGGTTTAGAGACGCAGTCTGTCAGAACGAAAAGCTCGCCAATACGTACTTCATCGCCAAATTGAACCGCATGACATTCTTGATGGCGACTAGGTACCAATCAACATCTTCCATCATCTTAACAAACAGCTTCGAGGAGTTGATCTTTCCATGGCTTTGTTGGCAGACTTCTCGGCGATCGCGTTGACCTTATCGTCATCACTATCGTCGTCTACGTCGGAATGGGCAAGACCTTTGTCGTCGCGAATGAGCAGATTACGAATAATGCTTTCGACGATGCGAGCGCTGATGTCGTACATCAGCGTGTCTTCTTTAAGCTCCATTTGATGATGTGGCATATTAAACATTTGATCTTGCTCGCAAAGTACAGCGCTTTTTCGGTGTTCGACATATCCTTGTAGACTTGAGTTTGCGTGCCGAGTCTATAAATGACTTTGATACTTGTGCAGGTATTACGGCGCGGTAATCATCTTTACATTGCCAGTCCTCTTGCGCTTGCAACCTTTCTTTCCGACATCAACCTCGTCTTTACCCTCGTGCACGCAGAGCAGGCACTAGCAGGTCGCGCTGCTAGTGCCCGCTCTGCCTTTGGCGTCCTAGGGCTTGACCTTGACTCCAAGCTGCAACACGTGAGCAGACTAAATGGACGTGAGCGTTCCCGTATACAATCCGATGAGCGTGGGTCGCGTTGTAGGTTCGCAGGTCGGCTTAAGCGTCGAAAGTTGCTGTGGTCATTTCTGTCTTGCGCCGATTGTTTGCTCGCATCTGCTGCAAATTTCCTTTATTCGTGGATGACATCAAATTAGATGGTGGATATCGACAGCTGTTTGTAATAATTTTATAAAATTTAAAAGGACTGCTGTAACACCCTGTGTATGCGAATTAGGCCAGATGTACCTATCACGTCTCACTTAGTGCTACATAGTGTGTCCGTAAGTGACGCAAAATGTACCGTACATGTTGTACTTAGCTCAATGTAGTTCTTCACCTCTTATGTATCTAAATCACGCGAGGTGTACCTTCCACGCCGTACAAGGTGCGATCTAGCATTTATCTCAGGCCTCCTACAATAGTAGCTGTGCTATAGTAGTTTAAAAATGCGACAAACAAATACTAGGAGGACGACAAACTAACTATAAAACTTTGTTTGGTAAAACTACGTCACGACATAGCACAGCATCTTGAAAGAGCTCATGAAGTCCAAAAAGAAATATGACACGCCGTTCAAGCCGGCGCACAAGCTCACTTATGCGGTAGAGGTCGTGATCACAACCGGCGACAGCTTCACCACCTGCCGCTGCATGTCCTGTGAGTACATCGGCCGGAACGCGGTCGGGGTACAGCAGCAACAAGCGCAAGTCGCGTAGTACCGTCCACTTTTATACAATTCAGTTTACTAAGGCGAAGTACAAGAGCCACCATAAGGGCCAGCGCCAGAATGCATGAATCAAATATCAGACCGTATCCCAAAAGGATCAAAGGAATTCTTCGCCGGCCATCTTTAGGTCAGCTACACGCTCCGTCGATTTATGAATCTGATCAGCATCAATATGACGTTTAAGGTCAAGGCCGGTATCGCTGACCTGATCACCAAGGATTTTATTTTTTCGCAATGACAGAATGGCCGACTTTGAAGATGGCTATAGCGACGAAGAGAGCGCCGCAGCTAAGAACGTGAACAAGACCGCTTAGAAGAAGGTGTACGCGACGAAGGTGTTTGTGCAGATAGACGACATTTGCAACTTGATTTATCGTCAGTATCAATCAAGTCATGGCCGCTTTGAGATGGCCGTGGTCTTTGTTGAGATTGGCATGTCGTTCCGGCTGGTCGAGAAAGCCATCGACAACGCCAAGATTCAGACGAGTAAGTCCCAGCTGACCGGCGTCAACGAATTTATTGTCATCCAGTATGTCCGCATCCTAATTGAGGCTAGTCTTCAGCACATCGCCGACCTGCTCGACCACGACCCGGTCCAATATATATATATCTTTTGCTGAAGATGGTAGCACGCATGGTAGTCAGCCTTTTTATGACATGCTCGTGCGTTTTTCTTTGAAAAAGAACTGTTCAGCCTGAATCTGGTCTCTTTGTCGAATTTCGACAGTCATACACCCGACAACATGCTGATGAAGTTCCCAGACGCTCTCTACAATCCGCGGCGCTCTATATATACCGGCCTGTCGTCTGACGGTGAGACCAAGATGACAGGCCTCCACCACAGATTTGTCAAGCGCATGGTGGTGACGGCTGGGAAATCAATTATTTGGAATTGGTGCGCAACGCATCAGAACCCTTACGATAGTCAAGCTGGCTGCTAAGTGCGTGACGGACGGCATGTGAATTACGTTTGCCTAATCCTTCTCGGTCTTCCTGCGTGCATTCCATCCTCATTACGCGCATGGGCGTCAAATGCTCAAAGAAAACGAAATGTTGGAAACTTCTCTGCTGCTTGTTTGATTTCCTGTAGAGCTACTACTGGCAGCTGATAGTGGTCTGCGTTAAGCATCGCCAAGATTCCGTGTCGACCAGCGAGTGGTGGCTTATTACCTTCAGCAACGCGACGGTCATCGATGACAGTAACGTGAATTTCTTCATCTTGCATATCCGGTATAAACTTATCGCACAGCAGGAATAACACATCAACGTGAAGTTTTCAATCTTATGTTGCCTTTCTCTACTTATCGCACAGCAGTAATCGCACATCAACGTGCTCGTCGGTAGGCTGACGGCTATGCTTAAAGTCGAGATCGTAACCATATCGGTACGAAGACGATGACATTTACGTCATTTACGATTTATTTAGTCCACGCGCATCTCGTTCCATTAGATCATCGCGACAATAAAAGAAGCAATGCTCGTTCGCCACGACATGACACGGTGAGAAGGACTTACCTAAGCAAGCCTTTATTGTTGGTAGACCGCATTTTTACACTAGTACGGTAATCACGGGCCTTATTGACGTCAAGGTCGAGCGGGATGTTGCTACATAGCCGTTTACTAGCGACACGCCGCCGGTAATTCCCGCCCTGTTGGCCAAGCTGTGTCATGGCGTGTGGGTACGTGATGTGCTGACGCTGAGCCGCGTACCACGTGCCATTGGTCGAGTCGAATGAACAGATTAATCAGCTTATGGTGAACCACACAGACATCTAGTCGAACACAATCATGACGACCCGGTCATTTACGCCTCTATCGCCTTGTACGGCGTACACGTCGTACGAAGTTGCCTGGGCCACCTGCTTCGGATAGTGCGACTATTTTTGCCCCTTCAGCTGCGGCCTGGCCACCATCTTACCAGAACGGTTGCGGTCGATAGAGATTTCTTAATGCTCAAGTTGGAGATGGAGAAGAATCGCACCGACATGGTTTATCTGTCACTGGACGGGGTCCTTAGGCGAAGCAGAAGCAGATTTTGATACCTTTTTAATAAGCGTTCTTTCACTTTAATACAGCCGGTGACGACAAATAAAGCTTATTCGTCAAATTTAGTGTAAATGACAATTTTAGGAGGTCTTGATTGTTTCCTTTGTCATAGTTCGATAAGCATTATTTGCGGGCCTGAAGGGTGTCGCTATTAGTGTCTATGTGCACAATGATTAAATATACACAGCCTGATTCGATTCTATAAACTAAATAACTCATATCGTGGGGAAAGATCTACACTCCGCGCCAGGTAATATCGTACACCTGTACTTTTATCCACTGCTCACTCAATTTTACTAATTAGCAGGTGCTATTTAGATGTGTGGTGTATTTATTAATAGACACACCCTCTGTGTGTTAACGATTGCGATTTCGCAAAGCGTAAGGGGCTTCACATACAAATGACTGGTTTTGCCACTGCGACACATAAAATCGTACAAGATGGCATACAAATTTTAAGTATGAAATGAACAATTAAAGACTCACTTTATGTAGTAGTGGGTTTTGATGCCCTTCTTCTCGATGACTTCAATGCATCGTCGCGGCATCGAGCGAACAAGTGACACAAGTGTGGAATTAAGAATTGTATTTCAAGCTGCAATTAGCGCAGCCTTTAGCTCAGACACGCGCTCGAACTGTGTTCCATTGACGTACACTTGCCTGCTAACGATAGACCACAAATTCTCGATGGGGTTGAGATAAGGTGACTTTGATGGCCAGTCAAGCACCTGAATACCCTTTTCACTAAAGAGTTTGCGGCTACGGTGTGAAACATGTATGCTTGCGTTGTCCTGTTGGAAAAAAAATCTGCATAATAGTTCAGATGCGCAAATGGTAGAAGATATTCAGACACTGCATAAACATAGTCATCCGAATTCTGCCTACCCGTCAGCACAACAAGTGGAGACTTGCCACGTGCGCTAAGCGCGTCTCAAACCATGATGGACCCACCTCCAGCTTGACGTCGCTTCGTCTGGCGGACGGACTGGCGTACATCTCTCCAGTAGTGCTGAAAGCCGTCGAGCCCGTCAAAATTCCATATCTTCTCGTCCAAAAAAAGTAACGGAGTCCCAGACAGACCCGGCATCCTCATGCAACATCATGTCCTTGGCCCAGCATTTGCGCGCACTCATGTCCGCTACCGTGAGCGGCAACGTGTTTTCCATCTTGGCGCACACAAGCCAATCGACATCGGCCGAAATGCGCTGCATGGTGCGGACGGACACTGGCAGGCTTAGCTCGACTTTGAGATGGGCGGCGGACAGGGAAACCTGAGCATAGGTGCGCAAGAATAGTCGCAAGTGGCGCTTAGATAGAAGCGGAGTGGGTCCTCGGCATTTCATCTGTAGGGGAGAGGTAGGGGATACTACTCGACGTATAGTGTCAAGGCTCCTTGAGGTGACAGTCTTGATGGCACGCAAACTCAGTCCAGCCTCTCATAGCCCCACTATACAACCCGCTCGTGGTCGGTAAGTCTTAGCTTCTTGTTGCCATTCCCGTCGATTTGAGCCGCTAAAATCGTGTCGCCAAATGCTTGTGCCGCTAGTATCAACCCAGTAATACAATCATACTGATACTTTACAATTAAAATAAGCATGCCATTTTGTACGATGTCATATGTCGCAGTGGCAAACCAGTCATTTGTATGTGAGGCCCCTTACGCTTTGCGAAGTTGCAATCGTTAACACACAGAGGGTGTTTCGATTAATTGAAGACACCGCACATCTAAATAGCACCTGCTAATTCGTAAAATTAAGTGAGCAGTGGATAAAAGTACAGGTGTACGATATTACCTGGCGCGGAGTGTAGATCTGGCTCTACTATATTTTTGCATTTAAAATTTACAATTAGGAGCATTTTGATTGATTAGATCAGAACAAGGACCATCCTCAAAGTAAGCCTCCAATCTCAAATTTATGTATTCAATAGCTGATCTAAATGTTCTGAAACAACAGTACTAACAATACTTGCTTTAGAAGCAAAAGAAAACATGTTGTTTAGCTCTCATTGATACCTTGCCTTACCCATTTAACCAATTATGTCACCAACTGATATTTTTTAGTTCTTGTGCTCACGTAAAAAGGTACTTACGTGATGGACTGTAGGTGCTATTTGTTCGCACGTCTATATCTTTTGACGCTTGATAGGGTAAAGCATGACCACTGCGTGCTGGATGGTGATGTAGAAATTTATGCCGCGCGGTCCTTCAGATCACCCTGGGGTGAACTGCGAGTTTTTGACTCAGTTTGAACTCCTTACAGGACCCGCACCCCTCATTACACTATGTGGCTTAACGGGCTTGTAGGGCCTCCGGACGGCATCGGCCACTCATTAGTGGTTGCTCGTCTACATTAATAGCCTATGTCTGGCGCCCTGTAATCGAACCCCCACCGGGTATCGATCCAGGTACCTCCCGGTCCCAGTTCCAGTGGTCTACCACTCATCCACTGGGGTCGGTGGATGGTGATGTAGAGCGTGTCGTGTTGCGTATGCCAAAGACTTGTTCAGACACCAAGTAATCTTTCAAATCCCTGTAATTTCTTACAATCACGTACATCAGCCGCTAGTGCGAGTAAGCTGTCAACAGTCCCACTCGCTTGGATTTAAACATTTATAATTTTGACGTTCTATCCTATTTTTCGCTTACCTTACAAACATTTATAATATCTGATACACTTGTCCTATTGCACGACCATTATACACCTCAAAATTGATCTAGCGTGTCGTAGGTAGCATCGAGATCTGTAAAGATTTTAATTCGAAAAAATTACATTGTTAATGAGTATTCAAGTACATGTTGATGGAGCTTACAAGCGTAGAATATGAGTGTGCAAAGTTAGAGAGAATAATACAATCTTTGCGGTGAATTGTTATTGAATTTTGGAACATAAACTAGGAACCGTCTAGTCTAACATTGCTTAATCACGACGTGGAGATCCCTTCGATAATCAACATAATCCCTATTTTATGATACCGGTGCCTCCTAAAATTCATTAAAAAGAGACAGTCAATTAGAGTTTAATACAGAATGCAGGACCATCACACGAGCCTCTTTTAATATCATCACACCTCATAATCTTTGTAAAAAGGTGGGTATGATCTCGCCCTAATTTGCAACGCTTACTTCCTCAACTCCTGTAGCAATTTTATCCCAGAGGCAAACACGGCTAAAGGCACGTGGTCCTATAAATTATATGTAAGAGCAATATTGGACGGCGATGGAGAAATAATAGGCAGTCATTTGCGATGAAAACTTACCGATAATAATTATCCTTGTAATTAATGGTATGAATTACCTTTTATATGCTTAATGCAGTATGCGAAGATACTTAAGCCATCGCCTCCACCAACGGTCTACGCTATATTACAGGATACAAAGAGTTCATTTAATGCTAATGGTCGTGGCCAGCGACATAACACACATTTGTTGAGGTCATGCACATCAAATGAGAATAAAAAATGAATACTAAAGCAGCACATTATAACACGCCGCAATATCTTTGATCTGTGTTATTCAGTAATTCGTGCAAAAATTGCATGTCTGTTCGAGTATAGAAGCCAATGTACGTGAGTAGCAATTTATACTACCCATGATGTAACTTTGGGACAAGCAAGATAATTTTATTGGAACGAATGGGACTAAACGCCAATTTGCCTTTTAATTCTTGTAGACATTCAATTTTTCGCCCACCAATCCCAATTTGGTTTCTTTTACCAAACAGAAATTGATTTTAGCGAGAAGTATAAATTATCTGCATCCAGCAGTATTGATTTGCAGTACGCTGTCAACGATAAAAGATAAAACAGTTAACTATTAAGTTAGAGCGTCAGTTGAAATGCTGGAAATGAACTGATGACTAAGAATTTTCATCAGCGAGATCTTCAATACTCATGCTCTATTCTTCTCGTTAAAACCTATGGGACCGACATCCGGATCGAGAAAAGTGACCTCATGGTAAGCGCGTGATGAGAGCTTGAGCACGACTGAATCAATTAGCTGTTAATAAAAGTAGTCAATAGTTCACGGGGTAAGCTAGTGAGTCGACAATTTTTGTCAATAAAGACACGAGTATAGCTTACACCTTTAAACAACTCTAGTGACATAATTGAATTTGATTTGGTTAAGACGATCAACGAAATAATAATGCTCTTCACTTTGCAGCCGTGAGCGCTGCATCTGATTACCAGTTTTATTTCGACGAACTTCAAAAATTTTCAAAGCTGAAAGTGGCTTCATTGGCGCACATTATAGTTACTAGTCGTTGGTTAGCCTCGCAAGCACAAACCTACTTGTGTCTGTACTTATCTTAGTATGGCCAGTTTAAGTTTCGGATTAATGTGATAGTTCTAATTTAACGACCACGATGTCCACCTACAGGTGCATCACGATGTTCGCACCTGGTCCATAAATGTAGATAACCATTATCGATTTTAAAGCCACATTTTAATATCTGGCGAAAACTGATTACAAATTTATCTGTTGCAACTGCGAATCGGTCTAATGGGGAACTTTATACCGTCGACTTATCTTTTTAAGTCTTTTTATATAACGGGCAAATGAATATACATCAAACTCACAACGTCTTGACCGTTAAATACGCCTAGTTCATTCTCCAGAGAGTGCGGAGGCCAGAAAATTACTGATTACCTCTGGGATGTGGCTCTCCTTCTATAAGACTGCGAAATCGGGTTAAAATATTTCTGTGTGAGAGTTATAGTGTTGACATTTGGTTGCCTTGGCCAATGCACCACGAAAATTTGTGCGCTGCAACCGCCTATAAATTCATTGTGCCATCCAATAGAAAATATGCAGGCTGCTCGTGGCTGTTATCAATGACGCGTTGTCCGTAAAGTCGATGAACATTCAATCTTTTACAGATGGAAACTACAAGTGCTTGTTCATGGCAAGGAACTGTTAGTCATGAACTAAATAATTTTGTTCAGCTCGTTGTGGCCGAAGGATTATGTAACAGACTGTGCGCTTTGCTCTATCTGTTTCGTACTGCAGAAATCCAATTTGATTAAAATTCACTTGCACCCCGACCCGTATGGCAACTAATGCGGATAGTATAAACTTTTTGTACATTTATAGAAGTGCTTACACTCATCATACAGCTAGTGAAATTGATAATTTGCCCAATAACAACTCACTTGAATAGATAAGAAGCAACATTAATGCATCCAAGAATATTTCTATCGATATTACCTATATTATAAATTAAGATTTGCATCGAAGTAGTAGCGCGAGTAAATTGTGTAGATATACCGACAGCCTGAGATTTTTAGTACAGTTCTTGAATTCGACCGGAGCAGTTTAGCTGGTAATAGTCTGCAGACCTTACGGATTAGTCCACTCGCAGTATCTAAATATGGTGCACACAAGCAGTATCATTTTTCTTGCTGTAAACATAACTCCGTTGAGGCTAATTTACAGATTCTTCTTGCGTGCTAGTATGAGGACCACGAATGTGTAAAAATACGGACGTTTAAAGCTTCTTATCCCATATGTAAACTACCGAAATAGTCCGTCAATTAGCTGGCTATAAAATTCGACCTATTCTAACATATCTGTAGCTACTCTGTTTGATGTGGCAACGGCATTTATTGGTCCGTGTGGTATTACGACCCATTTTCAAACAAAACGGAGGACTACGCTCATTGCTTGGAAACAAACATACCGTTTCCCGACACAATGTATTAGAAGCTATAGATCAGTCCTATTGATGAGCTACTATAGGCATGTTGATAGAAATAAAATTTCCTTGCTCGGTATCGGCATTGGGCGGTTCTTTTTTTTAATGAAGCTACATGTATGCATTAAATATCGCCACCCTCCTTTATCACTTCGCACACAGAATTTTCAAGAGCGATGTAGGAAATAGATTACCTATCATTACCACGTATAAGCGGTGTATTGTTTTAGTCGATTGTATGAATAATCTACGAAGCATCGCCCCCTGCTTTATGGCACCATAATTTGATTTTGGGTACGAGTCTATCTCGTGACGAGAACCGAAATACTTGGCTAACACTCATTGTACGATTTATGACGAAATGCTTGAATTAAACTACTACCTTCTAGCGAGGACTGAATTTAAAGGACTTGCAAAAACAAGATGTTTAAAATTAATGAGAGTCATCTCATCTAGGTTACTATATTTCTTCATTGAGCTGCTGAGAACCAGCTTTTTTTAACATAATTTATTGCCGA